CTGTGCAACCTGCTGTAGGTGACCCTGCTCTGGCAGGGGGGTTGGACTAGATGATCTCCAGAGGTCCCTTCCAACCCTGACCATTCTGTAATTCTGTGAACAGAAGCATGCCAGCACGTTGAGGGAGGTGATTCTGCCCCTATACTCTACTCTTGTGAGACCTGGAATATTGCATCCAGCTCTGGAGCCACCAACATAAGAAGGACATGGACCTGTTGGAGAGGCTCCCGAGGAGGGCCACGACGGGAGCACGTCTCCTGTGAAGACAGGGTGAGTGAGTTGGGCTTGTTCAGCCTGGAGAAGAGAAGGCTCCAGGGACACCTTATAGCAGCCTTCCAGTACTTAAAGGGTGTCTACAGGAAAGATGGAGAGGGACTCTTTATCAGGGAGTAAAGCCGTAGGATGCAAGGGGTAATGGTTTTAAACTGGAAAAGGGTAGATTTAGATTAGATATTAGGAAGAAATTCTTTACTGTGAGGGTGATGAAACACTGAAACAGGTTGCCCAGAGAGTCTGTGGATGCCCCATCGCTGGAAGTGTTCAAAGCCAGGGGGGATGGGGTTTTGAGCAACCTGGTCTAGTGGAAGGTGTCCCTGCCTGTGGCAGGGGGAGTTGGAACTAGATGATCTTTAAGGTCGCTTCCAACCTAAACCATTCTATGATAAAAATTTATGTCCTTAAAAATCTGCTTGTACAGTTATATCCAGGTAATCTTTATTTGGGAATTAAAACAACAGACACTGTTACTTGTTTTAGTCATTAAGACTAGGTAACCAAACCAACCAACATTATGCACAGTAGCAGACATTTCTAGAAAGGGTGTGAAATAGATAGACAAGCAAATGTTAAGGTAGCGTCTCAGATAAGATAATGGATATAAACTCTTGGGCAGCAGGAAAAGGAAGGATTTCTGAAAGAAGGTGTTGAAATGTGTAATGTAATATATGTCCAGATGCGAGTGAGTTTCACATAAGGATACTATCAAAGAAAAAGTTAAATGCAGCTAGGGTTTTAAAGAAGTTTCCTATCTCCTTGTGGTCATTAAGGACTTGGCAACTTTTACAAAAGATAGGGTGCTACCATTCATGTTCTTGCCTAATCTCAACTCTGATAATTAAATACAAAGTGACATTGTTTTACAGCAGAAATATACTGGGTTAGACCACCCTAGGAAAAAAAATTGTGTAAAAATGGATGTAGTTTCTTTGCATATGTAATCAATAAAATAGCTTAGAGTCTATTTCTTTCACAGAGAGAGTTATATAAGGTGTTAAAGTGTTGGCACTTGAGCAAAATGTAGTTCTTTTCTATGTGTTATTATCTTGGTTTTTTGTGTCAGCACTCACCTGGAGCATGATCTTCCAAATATAAATGCTTTGGGCAATGCCGAGTGCAGTAACAATAAGTGCTTTGCCTGTCCAGGCATAGTAGAACCAGCTTCCTTAAGTTGAAGTCTCAAATCAAGGAGAGGCTCTGTGCTGTACAGAAGACAGGCTAGCAGGTGAAAACATGAAGCTGATTTCTGCTTAGATATGCATCTATTTGGGCAGATAAATTGTTGTGAAGCTATATGACTCAGGGTTTAGGAAAGATTTGATTTACCCCTCCTTCCTTTGAGCCACAGCTGTGAATATCCTGTAAAAGTGATGAAAAGTAAGCTTGATCCTAATGTGATATTTTCAAATGTCTATGGTGATAAGCCTGAATTGATATCTACTGTTGTTTTTTACTTAAGGAAAAAACCCCAGTAACTTCCTGGAGAATTTTAGTAACAACAACAGAAAAAAACCCCATTCATTCTAATTGCACTTAATATGTTGGTGTTAATATGTATAAAATTTTATTTTCATAGTCTAGTTTGAATAGGAATTCTCTGAATAAATAAGTATTTTTGTATTGTTATTTATTTTTCATTGTGTACACTTTGAGCACTTGTTCTTTTGATACATATATATTAGGAAAACAAGGTTTGACTCATCTCTTTTTTTTAAATTATGAGTGACTATATCAGTTTTACTCAGACATATAGTAGTGAGAGTGTTTGCAGTGCTGCACATGTGTGAACAGTGTGAGAATATAAATGAGATGATTTTAGGCGAACAAACTCTGTCATTTTGATGTCTAGAGAATATCCTTGTCTTAGCATACTCAATTGCTCAATTGAGCACATTTCTGGTACCACATTAAACTTTTTTGTTGTTGTTGTTGTTGTTATTGTCAGATGCCATGAAGAAATCTGTGGTCATGTGGAATATCCCTGCCGTTTCCAAAATCCTGCTGCCAGGTTGCAGGCAGTCATTCCTTACAGACTTTTTGCTCCCTGGTGCCTTATGGAACGCTGTGAAGAGTGTTTGCTTCAGCTAATTCCTCAGTGCCTCTCAGCTGCTTACACCACACTGGGTACCCACCCCTTTTCCAGGCTTGATGTTTTGATAGTTCCTTCCAACTTTTCCAGCCTGGGAATGGCTAGGTAAAGAAACTTCTTACTATCTCATCTCCTGCATTTTGTTGAACTCCTTTTTGTCAGCTACTTACTGTTAAATTGCTGTCAATATAAAGTTGCTGTGCTATTTTTCTTACACCAAACTTAAAACTCTAGTAGTGGCTTCATGTGGGTAGGTTTGTTTGCATCCTTTGTGCTATGATCTTTAATTTTAGTTTTAACAGGGCTCAGGGAAGCTCATTAGACATGTGGGCCTGAATTTCCTCATTTGCCGCACTGAAGTTCTTTTATTAGTTCGATTGATTTAAATACTTGATGCTGCTGTCATTGTGCCATGTTTTCTTTTGGCGTTGATTTTACCGTTATGTCTTGGCAGAACAAGAGCGTGTTAAAATCCAGATCTAGAGTTTATTCATAAGCCTTTTGTGATTTATGAATTTCTGGTCGACCACTGGTCTTTGGAAGCTGAGTAAGGCAAACTGTAAGGATTATATTATCAGGTTTTCGTGGAACTGTGGAGAATAAAAAGCTTAATTAAATATTCTTGTTTTAAAGTATATTCCAGTTATGCAATGACAATAGAATTTAACTCTATTAGTTGTAAGGCAATGCCTAGCAAGTGAAATTTCCCATTTGCTTTTTATTTTTTTTTAAATACATATATTTAAGTTGGTAATGAGATAGTGGTTGTTAATAGCAGAGAATGAAACACTATTTTTCTGCACTGTTTGCCTAGTGCCCAGAGTAGAGTGGATTCATTTAGGCAGATGGACAAAACATCCAAGGGAAGAATTAAAGGCAAAGCTCAGATAGATAGAAGATGAGGACCGAAAGGAAAGGTGTATTCCCAGATAGTTTGTTTTGTATTTTGGAGCTCTTGGGGCAATTGTTGAGTAGGTTTGATATCTGAAGCAACTTCAACAAATTCCACAAATTGCCAGTCCAAGTGCATAGAAGAACCAGAAGTTTATTTCTTTTTACAAACTGTATAATTAATCACATAAAGAAACATTTTGTTTCATGCTACCTATTTTGTTTCTTATTTACGTAGATTTTTCTCTACAGCTTTCCTCTTGCAATCCTCCTTAGGGATAAAAGAAAATTATGCTGGCATGCAGTAATATGCAATAGTTTTTAGAATAAGTTTACTGTCTTTTTTTTTTTAATGAAGATCTCTAAAATTTAAAACTTAAGCGTTCAGTGACCCTTCTCTGCCATATAAGCCTCATTGCTTTGGAGATACCTTGTACTGGTTACTGAGTTTTCAATGGTAGCTCTTCACTCAATGAACTCCTAAATGGAAGCATCAAGAGGCTTACATGAATCCTGCTTGCTTTGGGCACCTACCACGGACTATATTCTCTGATGTTTTGCATAGTGGTTTGATTTGCAGGTGAGTGTGATGTTGTGTACCATGTTCTTGAAGCCGTATGAAATTGGTAGAGCTGCTTAGTGATTTCCTCTGACTTCAAAGGCATGGTACCAAAAGGTTGACACCAGTCCTTATGGATCGTCACTGTAATTGAGGAAGAAACTGGCCATCTTACTTAGCTGTGTGATACGAGTGGATCAGTGGAACCATGAAGGGCAAGATGCACTCATAGTACCAAATGAAAAGAAAGGGGAGAGAGGTGTCTAGGCCAAAATGACAGCACACAGTAGGAGAAATCTTCAAGATTCAGTTGTTGATAAGCTACTGCTCTTTGGGAAGTTGTCAGAACTTCCCCTGCATGTACCTTTCCCAGAATTTATAGGGAAAAGATGCCTGCAGGGTATCCTGTTGCAAAACCATCTGTGGTTATCTGAGTCCAGATTGCATGTTCAGAATATAGTACTTGGGCTTTCTTTGTGAAGGAGATGAGAAAAACCAATGCTTGTATTTCCCTGCGCTGCTTCTAACCACTGTCAGTTCCAAGTGATCCATATCATTGAATGTAAGTAAAGGATGAAAGAAAGGGCATACATACTTCCTGATGCTTTTCATTTAACAGTTCATCAAGCCAAGTACATCCAAATTTTTCAAAATGGAAATAAAATAATAATTTGAGATGTTTAAATGTCAAGCTGTATTTGGACAGCAAAGGAAATTATTAAAGTGACTCATAATAGCTTGTTTGTTCTTGTTTTGTGTGATTTTTCAAATAGAGGCTTCTATGTATGTAGCAAGATACTTAAACGGTTAATTCCTGTGCATGCAATGATAATTACCTAACTGGCTTCAGTTAAGAATAAGCTATGTGCAAAACCATGTCCAAACCCACATTAAAAAAAAGTTAGCTATTATCTTGGGTTAAAAAGGGTGCTGTACTATTTATTTTTTTATCTTCTAGTCTATCTGTAGCGGTATAAACATAACAGAGCATGCCAGCACAAAGGGGCTGTTGTTTTGAGAATTCTAATTGTACTCCTGTCTGCCAGGGAAGGAAACAGTCATAAATTTTAGTTATTATCTGAAGTATCAGGGCTTTACCGCGTTTGGCACTTTTCTTTGTCTGTTCCTCATTAGCCGATACTTACTTGTTTTTCATATCCGAAAATACTTCCCTTTACTTAAGGGGGAAGTTTCCCCAATATTTTAGACTAGTATGAGATGATGATAGTTCTTGCATAGAGTGACCTTATTGGGTGTTTTAATCTGTCTGTTCCAGTAGCTGCTACTGTCGGTCAGCTGCATTTCTCTTGAAGTGTGACAGATGCTTTATGAGAAAAACTCTAGGTGAAAGCATATTCATTTTACTTGTGTTTTCTATACATCTCTTCCTGTGTATTTTAATTTGGTGTGGACTTCTGTATGGAAACAGGATCTTGACTGTATATAATTGCAATCGTCCCCTCTTACTTCCTGCAGATCTTTGAAGCTGGATGATTTAATTTTGCACTCTGTCTTGGTTTTACACTATTTTAGTTCAAGTGATTCAATTTAATAAATCTCCCAAATTTATGCCAGCAAAAGAAGAATGTGGCCTACCTGTCTTTGTTGGTGTTATTATGTTAAAATGTACATAAATTAAATGAATAAAGCATTGTGGACCATATATAAATAGCTTAAAAAACAGAGATTAAGTGCTTCCTGTAGAATTCTGACAATTCCAAGGACACCTAACAGTACTTAATTATCTGATTTTAAGTTCTCTTACTAGCAGAAGGGAGTGAATTGGAGGAAAAAGGGTAAGGAAGTGTGTCACAATGCAAAGACTGTAGAGCGCCTGATTAGATTGTTCAGGGAAGAGGTCCCTGACCTCACACTACACCGAAAGTTGCTCATCATTCGTGTACTTGAAGAGCTAAGAGGTTAAAAGTGGCACTATGTTTTGGTGCTATTGATGAGGACATGCTACTCCCTGAGGAATTGTCAACCCCATTGGCATTTAAATAGCAGTCATTTCATAGTTGCAAATGCTCTCATATGAGCCAGTAGTTACTCATGTCAACAAAGCTGGCTGAAAGACTTCAAATAAAAAATAGGGGCTGTGTGTTTCCTGGTTGTTCGCACTCTTCAAATCAGTTCATTCCCAGTCCAGTTTTGTTGATCACATTTGAAAACCTAGTGTTTCAAAATCTTTTCCCACTGACTCAGTTTCCTTTCCTTTTTGGCAAATCCTGAAAAGACCCTGAATTACATGTTCTTTTTCATTCCCTGAAGAAAAACATTCTTTCAAATTCAGACTTTTAACTTTTTGTGCCACCTGAGCCTGTGCTTGAGAGCTTGATTTCTCTTGCAGTGTTTAATTGTTAAGCCCTCTTTTTTTTCTTTTTTTTTCTGTTTTTTTCTCATGAAAGTAATTTTTTCGTTGATAACCGTCAAGAGCCTTTCACAGTCACATCAATCTCTTGTATGTCTGTAGCTTTCAAAACTCTTTACCAAATTTCTACTTTTTCATAGCAAATATGCTGATACTTATTTTACTCCCCTGAGGGTTGTAGGCCTTTGTTTGCATTGAAGTTGAAGTACTTTTTTTGAAACAATGGTTTTCAAAGTTTTTTGTTTCCAGCACACATAGTTTAAATAACACAAGATTACTGCTTTTCCTGTTTGAATTAATGTACTTTAGATGGACTAGTTTTATAGTAAGTACTAGCAAAAGGAAAAATTCTCAGCCAAGCACTATGTGTCGATAACTTGACCAGTCACCTCACATGTTGCTGGAAGCTAGAAGAGTATGATGAGAAGAGTGTCCTTTGGTGTGTGTAGCATGCACTTAGTTTTTCCTTAAACACTTAGGACGACTAACTGCTGAAAACAGAATAATGGGATAGATGGACTTCCGGTCTTACCTAGTTTGGCTATTCTTACAGCAATTTTGCCCAGCAGAGCTATCAAGTAAGTGGAACAAAAGAACTTCTGAGCAAGGCACTGATACTTTCAAAACAGGATCCAATGTTAGGTAATTTGAATCCTGTTTAGGCTCCAAAATTAGTGGCCTTATTTTCAAGTATGCTGGACACCCTTGAAACCCAAATGGTGCTTGATGACAGAAACATCAAGGATGCTTGGCATATTTGTAAATCAGGTCAACTTATATAGCTGGCTAAATATGGATTTAGCAACCCAGCTTTCAATTCCTATTTATAAAGATCTTAGTCACTCTTCTCTCATGTAAATGGTCTTTGATGGTATTTTAAGAGGAAATAATATCCCTTTCTTCAAAACATGGTATATCAACAGAACTCTTGAGTCTTTCCAGGCCATGTCACTAAGGTTGTTAAGTTTTTAAATTGAAAAGGGAGAAGGAAAAAAAAAAAAGAGAGAGAGAAGGGTGAGGAAGACCAAGCAGCCTCTTTGATCTGTGCGTCTGTAGCCACCATTTATCCAATCTGTATGTCTGCAGTGTTCCAACGACAACTGATAATTCTATAGTAAAATCAGCCAGGACTATTGGAAAACATCCAAATATCAAAGCTAAATGTCAGTCTTAAGTATTGTTCAGTCTTGCAGAACTGTGATTGACTGTTTGCCTTGTCTGTAGAAACCTTTTATGAGTATATACATTTGGATAAACTTTTTTGCACATTTTCAATTGTGTTAA